AATTTTTATAATGGTCATATGGTATAATTACTATAAAAATCTGAAATCAAATTTTACCTTCGCTGATCCTCCTCCCAAGTGTATGAGTAAAAAGCATTTACCACTCAAAATTTACGGGATTTAATGAATCAACTATTTACCCTAATAGGCACCATGGGACCCAAATTAAGCTCATCCTTGATTAACACCACTATCATTGACGAAATTTTTAATCCTCACCTCTCATTCTATATGCTTCTTTTTCTTTTTCTGTCTTTATTCCATCGCACAATTTCTCTGTTAAAAGAGATTCTCTCTTAACCATAAGTCTCTATTTGAGAACAATAACCAACTAATCACGATTAAGGAGAAGAAACAAATAATAATTGAGTCAGTAGTAATAAAATGAAAATTACTGTTGCTTCTTGATTAGAAACAACATCAATTAATTTGTTATCCAAAAAAAAAAAAAAAACATCAATTAATTTTTTTCCTGTCAATTGGAAGCCACACAGGGAAACTTATTCCCTTTCCATGAATTTCACCACACCCTTTATGTATTGGATACTTTGTAAAAGATATATAAAAGATTTTCCTTTTAAATTTGCAACAAGTTCGAGGTATTAAATTTCAGACACTTGACAAACATACTAATATTTTAAATGGTAAATGAAAATGACACGTAAAAATGTTTGGCCTGATAAACCATCTAAACCCAACTCTATTTACTCTCTTTTGGTTTGGTTTGGGTTAAAGATGTTAAAATTCATTTGACAGGAAAAAAAATTAAAATAAAGCGAGACCTCTTAGGCTAAAAGTCATGAATAAGACAAAATTCGAGTAACAAGAGTAAACAACAAAATCAACCCTTCGACTTTCAAAAAGGAATTAAATTGTTCAACTTCTACTAATTATTTTATTTTTTATTTATATTATCCAACGATTTATTGACTATTTAACTAGCCCAATTCGAATTGGGCAGAATCACAAGTAGCAAAGTTCTTCTTATTAAATTTTAACACAATTGTATTATCAAGAACTCAAACTAGAGACCATTAGTTAAGTTGAAACATTAGTTATTTTATCTAATATATTCATGTATGAACATGTGCTAACAACTAATAACTGGTAGCCATGAAAACTCAACAAATATATGAGCTCAATTAGATCATTGATGAAAATTCAATAAATATTTGAGCTCAATTCGATCATTATTATAAACAATATTAATGTGAATGTACATAATCATAAAGAAATAACATTAAAATGTGTTACTTTTAAGAATTTATGAAAACAAATACTATAATTTCTTAATGTTGTATAATTAGGAGGATTGAATTTTGTTATTTATTTCATTATAATTCATAATGGTTGAAAGCTTATAAAGAGAGCTCACGTATAAAAAAATTTATAATAGACAAACACAATACATTAGAATTTAGAAATATTACTCTTATCTTGCCTTAAATTTTTTCTTATTTTTATTATATTTCTTGTAGTTATCCTTTAATTTTACGACAAATTATAGTTTAGTTTAAAATATTTAAATCTAACCTATACTTTTTTTAAAAAAAAATTATCAAACCAACTTAACCTATACAAAAAGGTCCATTATTTTTGCTTGATTTTGTTAATTTCTCAGTTTAATTTAAATGTTGAATGACCTTGTTAAGCTATTAGTAAACAAAAAACAAAGAATTTCCAAGCTGAGCACCACATAACTAAGATTCTTTAGCATCCTGTGTCTCTGGCCTTTTTCCTAATCCCCAAAGGACAAAGATCTGAATATTGAATTATTGGAATCCTTGACAACTACACATATTCATGAAATAGTTGGTGCGGTTGCTTCCGATTCCAAGTACATGGTATTCAACGCAAACGGGTCCCATTCATAATATGTGAGAATTTCCCATGATTTATTGAAATATTATTTCAATAAAATTGGTAAAATGAAAAGATCAAATATTTATTTTAATTATCAACCATTATTAATAAATGGCGGAAATTTTTTCCCTAACATAATTATATTAAAAATGAGACACTAAGAAGATCAATATTTCTATTCAACATATATGCCATCACATCACGGCCAATTTCTTTGATTCCAATTAACACACCACATGAAGTCACTTATTTTGACAATGAAACAATGTACACCGTGTACCATTGGTACTCGTCCAAGAAGGCAATTGGAGAGAGTCATTGTACAAAGTGGGTCATGTCTCAATAAATCTCATTTTGTTTGGATGGATTGGTTGTTCAATCACTCATTTTCTCTCTTCTTCACAGTTTGGTGACTTTTATGCATATCACAAATATCTTAATAGAAGTGGTGAAATCTTGCTGTTTGGATGTATATGTGCTAAGTCCCTTTTCCCTTAGAGACGTACGCAAAAGAGAAATGTAACTAATTGATAGTAACCCCTCCCTTGGCTAGCTGCTTTAGTATGGAAGATGGAACTCAAAAAGGAAACATATAGAAATAGAATAAAAGAATAAAGTACCCTGCAAATGTACTTAAGATCCTTCTATTTTCTAACGTCAAGGACATTACAAAATAAATAAATTTTAAAATTTTTATCTTAATTATTTCTTTGAAGCGAATTAGATTGTTCAATATTCCAATCATCCGGACGAGGAAAGGAACTCATAAATATATGAGACTAATCTCGAGTTAGACAATATGTCAATTATCCTATTCGACCCAAACAATTCAATTCATAATTCGAATTCCTTGCAGTTCGTCTGTGGAACTCATATTATCACTTGAATCAAGCATTGAGCTTGAAAAGATTTGAAGATATACTTGGATAACAAATTAGTTGTCTACTTTCATAAATATTACTGTTAATACCAAGGACATTTTTTTTAGACATAACAGGACATGATTTGATTATGTAAGACATGATAATATAAGGTCTTGGAGAATAAGGTTTCATAAAATTTTAATATAACACAATGTTTGATGTAATATTATATAGATTATTGTATCGTATATATAAGATAAAATATTATCTCATTTTTGGCTATGACTCTGTGACATTAGATAAATAAAAATTAACTTCTGTTTGCAAAAGTACCTTTTATTTTAAAGTATCATCTAAATTTTTTATGTTATTTTAATATTTGGAGAAATAAAAGTTCCTAAGTTCAAGGAAAAGAAATATGGGCACTATGTGTATTTAGTAAAAAAGAAAAATAAAATCTCTACACCTAGTTATCAAAATTCTTATAAGAATTTAGATGTAAAAACTAGTTATAGATTTAGGGGTTTATAGAATCCTTGCATCCATGATGATCTAAATTTATATTTATATGTGAGTGCGTAATAGTTTTTAATTTATAAAAATAATCATATGTACTATTTTTTTAATAGCTATACATCACTATATAATTAAGTATAAAAAAATTAATTTTATTCTAGCACTTTATATCGTTTATATGTATTGTTGATTAACTTTTTGAAAAGTATAATTAAAAAATTTGATACCTAGTTAATTCTAAGTTTAAATTTTTGCTGAAGTTGTTTTCCCTTCACTTAAGCTTACTTTCTCCCCCCTCACACTAATACCAAAAAATAAAATAAAATAAAATTAAACAATTAAACTACAAGATATTTGAAATAAAAAAACTCACTCATATCTCTAAGTACGTGAATTAAATAATAAGGAATTATTTCAGATCGATTAATCGATGAGCCGATTGATAATATTAAAAAAAAAAAAAAATCACTCATACAATATTAGTTTTGGTGGCTAATAAGTATGGGGCTTCCCTTGTTTAACAAAAAAAAAAAAAAAAAGGTAAGGGACTTCCTGCGCAAAACACGTGAGAGGATGCAGAGTTCTCTACGAGTCCTCTGTGCATTAAATAGGATAGTATTTAAAGCTTATATGCATTTATAATAAGTATAAAATAGAAACAGTGGTCAAAGTGTCACTCTTAGAAAAAAAAATATGGTCACGCTAATAGTAAATTTTGTCAAAATGTCACTGACATATTTCGCTACACTATGTAGCGAAATATGTGTGCAAATAATTCGCTACACTAGCGAAATATGCCGCGTCAGAATGCACAAGACCAAAAATTCCACGTGTCAGACAGGGAGAATTTCGCTACACTGTGTAGCGAAATTCTCCCTGTCTGACACGTGACATTTTTGGTTTTGATGTGGCATATTTCGCTACACTGTGTAGCAAATTATTTGCACACATATTTCGCTACACAGTGTAGCGAAATATGCCACGTGGCATTTTAGCAAAATTTACTGTTGGCGTAGTATTTTGGTGTTTTTTTTTTTGCCAACAGTGACACTTTAGCCACTGTTCCTATAAAATAAGGGAAAAAGAAGTATCATTTAAAAGGACACAAAGTATGACCGGTCATACTTTTCGTAAATCTGAAAAGTTATTTTTTTTCTCTCCTCAGTCACATCGCTGACGTGTAAAGTGAAAAAAAAGTTGTTATAAAAAAAAAAAAGTAACTTTTCAGAATTACGCAGAGTATGACCGGTCATACTCTGTGTAAGTCACTAAAAGGACATAACTTGTGTCCTTTTAAATGACACACACTAAACCCATAAAATAATTATCGAGCATTAACTTCTTATAATACCTTATCCTTTATCATTTCACAACAAATTATTAAAGCGATTTGCATTTGTGATTTAACATGATACAACAAACTTTCCTACACACACAAAATTTTGTGGGGCCCACACTTTTTGAAGAAAAAAGAAAAAGAAAAAATTACGGCACACAAAACGAATCTCTATAACATTACACAATCACTTTTCCTACAACATAACTCTTATAAAACCCGTTATTAAAATAACTTGACCCTTCAATTATCATCATATTAAAAGAAAATTCTTGTAACGATATCTTGATTTTAATATTCAAAAGTTTTACACTTTGAATTCTCGAAAATCTCAGTAATTGTTGTCACACTGAAATGAAATTCTACCTATGTGGGTATTTGGCCATTCACTGCCATTTTCAAATTTCAATACCATTAACACTACAATTCAATGGCTCAATTCTTTTCTTATATCCTTGCATTCTACAATTGCTCCTGACAAAGTAATTACCAATTACCAAACACCAAAACTAATCTTACAAACATATTGATTTTTAAAATTCAAAATTACTGAAACAAATAATAATAAAAGAGCTTCTAATGTTGACTTAATCTACAAGACCATAGAGAATATACAGAACAAACATGAACGAGCAATAAGGAAACAGCATCATCATCCTGCATCATGTTATTTACAGAAATATATGATAAAGAGCTAGAGACTAATAGATCTTATGGCACTGTTGACCCTTTGTAGATTCCAATTGTTTCAAGAAGGCACTTAATCAATGCTTCAAAGACCATCATAGTAACCACCAATGGTTACGCGAGCTGTGCTCACAGGAACACCTCTTACTACAGATATTGCTTCATTCAATTTGGTCGCATGCTGTACCACTTGCTTTATCCCCTGAAATCACAATCAAGGGTTAATTCAAATCCACTTAACTATTGAATTTTCTAATACCACTTGCTTTAATCTACTGAAATTTTTAACCAAATCCACTGAACTATTCAGTATTTCTACACTTTCTTTCTATATGCAGTTGAGCTACCTGTAGGAACCTAGGGAATTAGAATCACAATAACTAGGCCTTTTTGACTCATTAGGGCGTGCACATTCAAGTTGCATGTGAGGTAATATGTGACTATACGCAACTTGTGCGACAGAAGCGAGTTGATTTTTGCACAAATCATGCATTATTTTGACAAAATATTTAACTTTTGACAAAATATTAAATGTCCACACCCTATATAGATTTTACTACATTATTTCAACAAAATATTTAGTTTTTGAATCAACTATGGAAAATGTTCCCTCTTGACATTATTATGTTAAAAAACCCAATAACTCCTCAGTGATGGATTTTGATTGAATCCCTATTAATCAGAAGAAGAATAAAAAAAACAAAAGAATATCGTATAGTTGTTCTGCTTTTATTTTATTTTTTTCAATTTGATGGAAAACACAGCTTGTGCTAACATCGAAGATGCACATAATTGTGGAATTTTAACATTTTGGAGGCAGCAAACTCAATAAATAAATAAATAAATGTGAAGAACTTGCTGACCTTGTCTTCAGTATAGATCTGGAACCGAATCTTCTGATCATTCTGAGTTTTGTTCCTTTGTTTGGTTCCAAAGAACAGAACACAGATAGTAGCAGCAGCAACACCAAAAGAACAAATAGCTCCAACACCTGTCAAGCTCCACTTCCATATGTTGAAACCATTAGTGTTCTCTTCTTCCCAAGTGGAACAATCCTCTTCTTTATCACACTCCATCCCAATCATATCTTTCTCAATCTTCTTCATTCTTGGAGATGTTATGATCTCCATGGCCTCACCCTTGTCCTCAAATTTCAACAATCCCCTGCTACTTGACCTTGGTGAATCCATTTTCATGTCGACAAATTCATTTTCCTTGATCTTGAAAAAGACCTGTGACGCAGTTTCTTGTTCAGCTTCCACAGAAGGTTCAAACTTGAAGTCCTTGATTTTCTCAGATGGGACAACAACCTTAACTTCCATAGGATGATCCTTGGTGATGCCTTGTACTAATTCATCATCTGGGGTGTTACCAATTTTGGGTTCCAATGGAATTTGCAAAGGGACAAGTTGATTAAGCACCCTTGGTTTCCTTGGTGATGTTGGGCAGAAGTGATTCACATCAAGAACACTTTTTGACACCAAATTTCCTTTTCCTATGAAAATTTTCTTCTCAGAATCTTCATTGAAATCAAGGTAGCCATCATCGGAGAGGAATTCCCACTCGTCAATATCCATATCTAGGAGGATGATTCTGGATCTTGAAAGGAAGAGTGATTGGTGTAACAAATAGAAGGGGGGAAATAAAGTTCGATTTTTTACATATTGGGTGTTGATTTATTGAATCAAAGAAGGTTTCTTTGGTGGAATTTCATTTATGGTGTGTCATGTTGCACTTTGTGAAGAGTGAACTCATAGGATATGAGCAAATGAGTTTTGAGTGCTTATCCCTTTTGAAGATGACAAATTTGGTAATGGTCCATATGGCCCACCAAGGAGAATTGCCTCTACAAATAGGCTTCGTGGATATCTTCTCTTCAATTTTCTATTTGATTAATATTATTAGATATGATGGTTAGCTTTGGACAAAACTCAGCTTTGACTGTGTTTGCAAAAACAAGGGGGAGTAATAAGCAAAGTTAATCAAAGGTTGTTTTTTTAATTGAGTTTAGTGTTTTTTCCGTCATAAAAAAAATTAATGTTTTTTCTGTAACTTGTGATAAAATTATCTTTTATAATTTTCAAATAATGTCATTTTGATATATTTTTTCAAAATATGTCATTTTTTTCTCCCAAATCTCAAAATAATGTCATTTTTAAATTATTAAAAATAATTTTATTTTCTGTTATAAGAGAAATATTTTTCACTAAAAAATAAAATTAGTTCTTATAATCCCAAAACATCTTGTTAACGTTTGAAGAAAAAATTAAAAGTAATTTTCAAAAATATATTCTAAAAAAATAAATTTTCCAAAATTCACCATACTTTTTCTCATGTAAAACATTTTCCCCATTGTTTTGTTGATTTTAATGTGATAAAGAGAAACATAATAGAGAAACATTGTCGGTTGTTAGAAATGATAAGACAGGAAAAAAGTAGAAGGGAGCTAGAATTGACCATAGGGTTGTATCTTGGCAAAAAATTTAAAATGTTATTATTTTAATGACTATTTACGAATAAATCGTTGTTTTGAAATTAAAAATGAATCTATTACACTCATATTTAAAATAAGGTGTGACCGCTCACGCCGAGCATGAGGCGTGATCTAAAAGAGAGACATTCCCATTTTTCACTTTTTCACTTCACACATTCTTTATAAGATATTGCTCTGACTTTTCTCTAGATTTTTCCTTGAGTTTTTGCACTGCGAAGCTTTGTCAGTCAAGTAAGTCTCAATACCTGCTTTCTATATTTTTGAATTATAGCAATAGATATGTTATACTATGTAAGGAAATTGTTAATGACTTAGGAAATCTGTTAGTGATTTAGGAAATTGTTAGTGACTTAGGGAATGATTAGTGATTAAGATAATGATAGGGAATTATAATATATGCACACATACTTTAATAAAAAAAATTAATTTAATTTTTTTAAATATTGGACTATGCAGCATCCTCGTCTCAAGTCGGTTCAGTTAACACACATATGATACTAAACAGAAACAGCAGAAGACTTAACTTACAAAAATACAAGCTAACTTCTTCTTTTTCTTTTATCCTTTTCACATGATATAAATATTGCACCATACTTCTTCTAGTTTCCTTTTCATTTGACGTAGATGAAAATCGGACAGAGCATTGTCTGTAAATCGGGAAAATGAGGATTTACGAATCTCACTCTCAAGGTACCTTGATAAACAGTTTATACAATATATGATTTCAGAAATACCAGATATCCATCAAGGATCACATACCCATCCATGGGCGCATGCATAATTGGCTTCGTGCCACTAAATCTAACAGCATGCAATAACCAATGCATACACATATTTGAATACTACATCATTATATAAACATGCCTGAATATACAAATATACATGCATCAAAGCGGAAAAACATGTACAAAACATATACAGGCTATATACAAAGTAACAGATCAGACATCGTGATCCTCAAAACAAATGGAATACTAATGCAAAATAACAATCCTCCAAAATAATAGTAGCATACTGCTACCCAAAATTTGGTCTGTGATGCACTCTATCCACGGGTCGTATCCCTGCCCCGTGTAGGCTCACCGGCAATCTGTGCACCTGAAATGATGTCTTCAAACGAGGTGAGATAATAAATCTCAATAAGCTCTAGGTTTATAGTTAATTCTCCATACCCTGGGTCCACTCCTGCATGAAAGTCAGATACAGAGTATACAAGGCATCATATAAATAAATATCACAACTGAACAGAACATATATACATATCTTATGAGAGGCGTACACAGTCATTCCTAAGGGAGGACCCTAAGCGGAAATCAACGCACGTGTTCCCAAGGGAGGACCCCGAGCGGAACCAAACATATATCAAAGGTATACACAATCAGTCCCAAGGGAAGACCCCAAGCAGACATCAGTGCACATAGGATCAATAGCCAAAGATCATTACAGAAATCACATCAGAGCATAACATATCATATTATCAAATAGCTCTATATGAATGCATCTAAACAAAGCATCAAATACAATCATACAATCCAACCATAGTCCACTAATCATGGCAGAGCATTCAAGTAGGAGAAGACTCCTTAGACATAGAGCTTACCTCTTGGAGCTTTACCAATTTACTTACTTGTAGCACAAGTTACTTATCTTGCTCCACGAGAATCCAAACGTTCACAATCCCTAGGCACACCTAGAAAAGGAATTCAAAACAAAACTCAATAAAATGATACAATGCCATGTAATTTCACAAGACATACAATTTATTGTTTACGTTCATTTCTTCACACTTTTGCCAATAATATGCCAATCTACAAGTCAAGACCATAATTTCTTAAACTCATTTGATAGATCATTTAAGGATGATTACTTTACATAGGGTCTTAGAATGACCCCACCAAGCTTCTAAAATACCTTTTACAATTTCAACATTTTCTAGCCTCACAATTCCTTACAAGGCCAAATCCAAGACCAAGGGGAAGCTAGAGATTTGCATCAAATCAATTGATACAACCAATAGTTCCTAGAACTCACACTTGATCCCTAAGTTAATTATGTATCCACATAAGAATTTTAAACATAATTCATGCCCATTTTTCTTCACAAGGCCGAGGCGAGGGTACACATTAGGGAACCAAGATGTCTTTCATAATTTCTTAAGCCATTTCACTTCATAATCACACCAATGAACCACATTGGAATGTCAACACATCATCAAAACAACTTTTACATAATCACCCCAATTTGGACCCTAAAGGCCGAACCTACAAGGAGGGTTTATAAGGGATTTTTCTCTTTGTATTCACTTTCACACTTAAATCTCAACATCCACACACATACCAACCTTTATCAATTATGCATTTAAATTTTTGCACTCCAAACCCTTATCATCACACCATGGCCAAATCTAGTGGGAGGAGATGCAAGGTTTTTTTTTTCAAAATTACAACTCATAATCAAGCTCATCTCACATTAACACTTCATATACAACACTAAACCATCAATAAATTCAAATTTCAAACTCAACAATTTTCCACCAAAAAGTGCTCATAATATTCAAAACTTAAATCATGAAAATCAAACAATAGGAATGAGGATTTCTTACCTCTAATCACTTATACAAAACCAAGAGAACAACCTCCAAACAAAGCTCCTTCAAAAACTTCAATTTCTACACTTGATGAATACTAACTCAAAAAAGGGGAAGGGAAGAACTCTTCACACAAGCAATTATAGCCTAAACCAAGTAGTGGAATGGATTCCTTGGGTGATTTACTATAAATTTCGTGTAATGCACTTAAGGATTTGGTTGAATGTGGAGGCAGAAATCAAATGAAGAAAGGAGAGGACCAAAACCTAACTCCATGTAAGGTGGAGGTCGACCTTGAGGAGAGAGAAGAGAAAATTCTAATGTGAATAGTGCTAGCTTAAGTGACTTGGACTTACATGCACATGTGGCCTTTTACCGGTTGTTTTCTTCTCACTTAATTTCACTTAACTTGATCTGGTACTAATTTAAAGCTACAAACATGATTTTATTTTTCTGAACTCATTAACATTAAATTTTATTCCCAAAAAAACAATATTAACAATTCACAGTAGGATTTATGCACCATTTTTGATAAAATGCACTGTGAATCGCTAACTGTGCACTATTTGCATACGAAAACATAAAACTTATAAACTTATCACTTTTGGGTCTATCATGACTTGTTTGGCATATACTGGACTTTCTTATTCTTATTTCATCAATTATTTAGTTCTGGACTCTATTGTTTGCTTAAACAGCGGTACAAAATACCCAGCAAAAACACTATTCACGAGATTTTCACGAAAAGTGTCAGACTATACAATTTTTCGTTCTAAACTCATATTTGGCATCAGAATTGCCAAATTAGGTCTCTATCCTCATTTTGCTCATTTCCACCCTCTATCGGTTGCCACACATAGTGCAAAATACTCGGCAGAAGGCACTGCTCATGACCTAGTCATGATTACAGTCAAAACACTCGAACTTACGTTCTGAATCTAATTATGACCTTTAAATTCTTCAATTAAATCTCTAATTAAGATTTACTCGATGGGATTATAGACTAGGCTTGTAAATTATTTGAAATTAAATTAATTATAACAATCAATTTTTAATTTTTAATAGTATATTATTATGGTTGATTCGTCGTTATCTGAGTCTCCTTGGTCTACATTCGAGCACAAGCCTAAGCCTTTCAATCCCAACACACATGTCCTTTCTAGATCATACAGGTGGGAGGTACTCCGAAGAAGGACATAACGCACACACATTTCACAGACAATGTGGAACAAGGATAAGATCCGAGCACTAAAAGCCCAACGTGGTAAACTGCATGGGGGACGCCCTCATGATAATATTCCACACGTGGTTGCTGAGTACCTTACAGAGGCCGATTTCCTACATGTGGCATGCATGCGTCATATTCAGGTATGTATTTTAGAATGTAATGTATTATATTGTGTTTACACAAATCTTTAAAAATTAGTGAATTGTTTATATATGAATTGATAATTGTCTTATGTGTGCTTAATCAACCCAATTAGTGGCATGTTCTTGCCTCCTTTAATACATTGTTTATCAATTTGGATAGGTTTGTTGTCATATGTCCATATCTTTGTCCCTCTACGTCATATGCATGTGTCCACTTTTCCTTGGGGATGCTATTAATCCAGTCCGCAACTTGAGGATTGGTTTCATGAAATCGTGCAAGGGCTCTCTCAAAATACACCATAGAAGGAGTATAACCTGCA